AATTGAAGATTGTTGTGCATTAACAATGATACAAAATGACTCACATTCATTTATATGTTTTTATTTTATTTTATTGATGATTTTAATTTAGTAATTTTACATGTTTTTTAGGTTAAAATTGATTAATTCTTTTCTTTCTAGGATATTTTGGATGGTTCTCTCAATCATTTATTTTCTCTATTAATCCTAATTGGCTATCAAATTTGATTTTGATTTTTAGGTATTTAATTTTTTGTTTTTGAATGTCCTAATTTGCAGTTAATTTTTATCTAATTGCGTTATATTTTTTTTTTGTTTGCTTTCATCTCTTGCTGTTTGTGATGTCGTGTGATTTGAGTTGTTAATTTTTAGAGTAGATTTGGTGTTTTGTGCTCTTAAGTGATTGGTGGTGATGGATTTTTTAGTTAATGGTTGTTTTTTATATGGGTTTTGATTGTTTTTTTCATGCATGTGAATTGAGATTAAAATGTTTTTATTATTTTTTACTTGAAATATTATTGTTTTTTCATATGGTTTTATGGGTTTTGAGTATTTTTTGCATATCATTATCGTAATGTGTCGTTTGAAGGAAGAGGTTAACGAGATGTCAGCAAGGCTTGTATCTGAGAGGTCTTTGTATGTAGTTGAGTAGTGCAATCTGCAGGAACTGCTTAATAAATTAGAGTTGAAGCAGGAAGGGATGCTTCATACAAAATCTATATTAGAAGCTGAAACTGAAGCTTTTCGAATCCTCAGGTAAGGATTACAATTCAGTCTTCATCTTGATTGACTTCTTACTCATTTGTTTGTTGCAATAATTTTCTGAAGCTGTACTCAGCTGATTTGTAGTTTCTCTTTTTAACACATAACTAATTCTTCAACTAGAGGATAGAATCAATGCTATCATTATTCACCATTGATTTGGTTGTTTTCAATCTAGAATTTGCTCTAGGTATGTATGCAAAAATATATCTGGTGTTCAAGGGTGAAATTGATGAAGCCAGAATGGACGGTGAAGCCAAAGAGGATGAGTTGATGAAAGCAGTGGTGCGGATTCTAGTGTTGGTGGTTCACCTGTGCTAGTTCTTGCAGCGCACTTGTATACTGGACAAAAAGATCTTCATGTCATATGCTAAGAATCCAAATAGAGAGCATGGAATTCTGCATAAGGTTCGATAATGTATGGTTCAGTTAATGGAGATACGAGCAATTAATTAATACAAAACCTGTCAAAAGCTTCAAGAAGGCCACTGAAGAAATTGTTAAATATGAGCCCAAAATAAAATTATTAAAGCTTAATTTAAAATAATCTCATTAAAAATCCAAAAAGCAAGCCCATTTAAAAGAATAGGGTAACATATAAAATAGGCCCATTAAAAACCCAAAAACTAAGCCCATTTAAAAGGATTGTATCACATGGTTTTCAAAGCAAAAAAACTGATATGAACTTAACCAATTTATTTCAGTTAAATCTATTTTTCAGTTTAATTCGAATTAATTTTTTAAAAAATTAAAAACTTGGCTAGATTAGGATTTTTGGCTTAAATCGAACCAGGCCATATATAACCATAGAATCAACCAGTTTTGATTAGCTTTTTCTAAAGTTAATTGAATTATAAATCAATCTTATATTTTTTATTGGATCAAAAAGATTTATTTCTCCCTCTATTTTTATTGAAATCCAAAACAATAATATATCAGGTTATCATGTTATTAAACTGAACTAACTTATCCTTATTATATAAGTTATATATTTATTACATTACCTTAGATTTACTCAAGCTTGTTCATATTTCTAAATGAGTTTTTTTATATGTTACTGTAATTATTTATTTTAAAAAATAAAATTAATTTATTTTATTTATCAAGAATACAACCCAAATTATTTTGTTTTTTTTTTAAAAACATGCAAGCGACATCTTCACATCATTTCTTATGTAAAAATATACAAGCTCGCACTGAGGGTCTTAGCCTGGTGATGAGAAGGGTTTGTCTTTTTCCGCTACTCCTGGGTTTGAGTTCTCATGTGCATTCCTATTATCATCGCGGTATCTTACATACCTATTGGGTTTATAAGGTGTTCAGTGGATCATGAAATTAATCGCGGTATGCACAAACTAACCTAAATACCCTCATATATATATATATATATATATATATATATGTATATAAAAAAAAAAAAAACAGCTCGTGGCAGAACGTAGAAACATAACTATTGTTATATTAAAAGAAAATCCCTATAGAACACTTTCAATCTATCGAATCAATTTATTAATATGTGATCATGTAATCTTATTAAAAAAGAAGAAGAAGAAGAAGAATAAGCGATTTTTGGTTGAATACATCATTCAATAAAATTAAAACCAGACTCAATAGCTACTAATTACGAAATATCCAGTCCTCTAATTAACTTCAAATACTGTAAGAAATCATTTATTGCAGAAAGCCATCAAAATATGATGTTGGGCACTTCTTCGATTAGACAATGATCGAAGTCATCATTTGGATTCATCACTACCACCGGAATGTGAACAAAGGTCGCTTGCCTTTCACCGCCTCATCGGGCTTAGCATAGAGTGGCGACGGTGCAGGGCTTGGAGTTGGTGCCAAAGATTGCACAGTTATAGCAAGCTTTTGACCACCAAGTTCACAGTGCTTGCCCACTCCACAAATATACCATTTCTTTCCCGGACTAGCCAAAACAATGGTGTCATCTCCACTAGTCAGAGCCTTATCCGCCGGTGGAATAATACAGTTCTGGAATTCAGTTCCGTTCACTTTAAACACGTTGTGAGCACCAACGGGATATTTAAAAACTGCAAAATCCAACCACAACTAGTAATATGAAGCATTGAATGGTAATAGTAACGGACACCTCTCGTCGAGTCAAGCATGCTAGTTGTTCTTATAGAAGAATTGTACAGAGGGTAATGGAGGATGACTTTACCAAGTTCGTCACCGACAAGAAAGTTCTTGCCCGCAGCCCAAGCATGATAATCAAACCCTACGGTCCATCTACTTTCGTCCCCAACTATGTACTCTGTTGCCAAAGTTGCCATTGGAACAATGGCAACTATGAGAACAAAGATCGCCAATACACAACGAGAAGCCATGAGAAATGTGAAAGCTCTGGTTAGTTTTCCTTCTGATTAATTAACGAGGCTAAGGGGACACTTGCTCCAAGGAGATATGTAGAAAGAACTATTTATAGAGGCAAGTGCAAGGATTTGAGCCTCAACACGGCCGAGGATGGCACTGTGGGTCTACGGCCGGATAAAGGGAATGAGTCCATATCGAAAACACTCTTGAAAGAGAGTGTAAACAAAGTTTGGAGATGATTACAACATGCACAAATTAACATACGACAATTTTGGGTTGTGTTTACTGTTACCCCCACTCTATTTTTTTTTTTATATATATATATATTTGACAATTTTGGGTTGTGTTTACTGTTACCCCCACTCTATTTTATATATATATATATTTGGAATTATGGTGTAAGATATTTTTTAAAATAGTTTTTTATTTAAAAATATATTGCAACAATTTTTTAAAGATTTATTTTCCATTAGCACATCAAAAGCACTAAATTAAGTATTAGTTTAATATTTTTTTAATTAAAAAATATTTTTAAAAGACAACCATAAATACTATAAAAAAACTCCTTTCCCATGTGTAAAAGACACATCACAATAGATTGGTAGCATGCAATGCATCACTGACCAAACTAGACTTTTTATAACATAAAAAATGATCGGGTGATGGTAGAATTTTAAAGAAAAAAAAAAATTTTAGTGTCAGGTCATTGATTTCACTAAATCCAATAAACTAGGCTAATTTAATAATATAATAAAAGAGACAATGAAAATAGATAAATTAAATAAAATAATTGGTTCAAGTAAATTTAAATTAACAGGCAGGACTTACAATCCAATACATGGAATTGAAATAACTTCATTAAAAAAAATTAATAAATCCTAAAACTCAATAAATTTAAAATTGAATGATGAAATTAAAAAAATAACTTAAAAATATCTAAGTCGACCCAAGCTAGCCTTTTAAATTTGTGACTAAAGTTTTAAGGTCGTGATTACCCTATAAATAAATTATGAAACTAAATTCCTAGTTAATAAAATATTAAAAGATAAAATTGAAAAAAATAAATAAAAAATAACAAAAAATAAAAATAATAAGAACAAAATTTGACATAAAAATAAAATTATATGTTGAAAGATGAAATTTAAAAAAAAAATCAATTAAAAAAACATTCAAATCAAAACAAATAATTAAAAGAATAAGAATAAAATCTGATAGGAAAAAAAACTAAAAATAAAATTATAAAAGATAAAATCAATTTTAAGAACTATCTCAAATAAAACAAATAGAAATTAAAAGAATGATATGTAAAAAAATTGAAGGATAAAATTTAAAAAAAAAATTATAAATTATCTCAAATAAAATAAATAATAATTAAAAAAATATAAATTAAATAAAAAAAATAAAAAAATAAAACATTTTAAAAATATAAAGTGACAGACAAATACAAAAATTAAAGATGAGATATAAAAGAAATAAATTATTTCATAAATTACTTCTCACATCACAAGTCACTATAACCCTATAATAAAGACCAGCTCCTTGCTTCTGGCCATGGGTTTTAATTTATTTATTAATCTCAAAATAACTTTCTTTCATGTAGTCACACAACACACACACACACACACATATATATATATGTATGCGTTTAGAATTTTTTTAATATTTTTAATTAAAAAATAAATTATTGGGAAAATGATTTTATTTATCTTTAGAATTTCTTGAAAAAATGCCGCTATCCCTATCCTAAATTTCGGGCTCATGGGTGTATATATTCTCAATTCATGTCTTGATCTGGTTAAAGCCTTAAGCCTTTATAAATTTATTAGTGACTGATCCAGATTGGGCTTAGCCCAGTTAAATACGGACCAGGTTTTTAAATGGCCCAAGATCCTTATTTAAGAGGAGAGGAGAGGAGAAAATGAAAAACAAATAAACAAACTCCACCCGTCTTTTAAAACCTGGAGAGAAGTTGCGGCAAAACCTTGGAGAAGAGAATATCAATGGAGTCGCACAATTATTGTTAAATCCCAGTATTAGTTATTACCTTATTCTTATAATTCATAGCCACTAAATCTACGGGTAATCTTTTTTCCATCAAAGCTTCATTAAACTTCTTATGTTTTACAGTATGTGTTATTATATTTTCTAATAGTGGTCTTAGAGTATGCTTGATATGTGATTATGATTTGTGGGTTATTTTTGTTGACATTTTATTGAAGTGGGTTTTGATGCTAAATTGTTTTTAGGTTTTATTTTTTGGTGTAAAAGAGGCTGTTATTGTTATGTTTGGATACAGAGAAAAAAAAACAAGACAAAGCAAAGGCCTAGTCTTTTGCTGCTTAAATTTCTTCAAAATTAGAAGTACTTACTACTCAATACAGCTGAGTTGTGTGCTACTTAAATTTCTTCAAAATTAGAAGTAATCACTACTCAATACAGCTGAGTTGAAGTGTTCGTTCGCTTATTTTTTCAGAATGATTTATTATTATTATTATTATTATTATTATTTTGCAACCAAGCATAGATTGCGAAAATAATCTTCTTGTTTTTTAGGTCTGTTATAGTGAAGTTAGTGATGGAATCTCCTGAGTGATTGATTTTTGTACTAGTAATTTTAACTTTGTTTCTTCTCGTTGGGTGTGGAGAAGCATTGGGAACCAATTTCTTTCTTCGGAGCCATTTCTTTTCCCTCCCCTTGGCATAGTGCCTCGCTTCCAGTTCTTCAAAAGAATCAACTGACTTCTCCCTTCTTCATTGATCTAAGGAAAAGGAAATTCAATGATCAAACAAATAAGGACAATGAATCTTTTTCTATACTACTAAATTACGAGATCAAGACTCAAGTACATAAAGGCAGGCAATGACCTTTAGTAATAATAATTATAGAGGTTTTTTTTTTAATTGAATTTTTTCTTTCTTTTTGCAGATTATTTGGTGGACATTTGATTTGGAACCATGAGTAAGTCCTGATTAAACTTGTTTTGTTGTATCGGTTGATTTTTCTTCTTCTTTGTTTTGTATGATTTATGATTCACAAAATGGATAATTTGGGTTTCATTTTGTTGCAGGGGCAGGGCCTGTTGAGAAGACACGCCGAGAAAGGCGAAAAGAAGCTAGAAAAATGACAACGCAGAAAAAACATGAATCTTGGGTTCAAAATCAGGTATGAGCAGTTGCCTTTATAATTTATGGCTTTATAAATTTGTAGCAGCTGTGATTCTTATATGATGTTTACAGCAATTTAAAAAACGGAGGAGAGCTGAAGAAAATAAAAGAAAATTTGGAAATTCAAAGGCAAAATATGTGAACAAATCAAAGAACTTGAAGGAGAAAGAAGATATGCAGGAAGATGCTACTAACTCGAGGAGAAATCAGAGTCCAGAGGAAAAGAATGTGCCAACAAAAATGGAAAGGAAATTGGGCTTGTTGGGACGTAGTGGTTCTAATGCTCCAAAGACAGCGAAAGAAAAAAAGGGCATGAAGAGGAATTTGAAAACGAAGTTTGAAGAGTATCTTGAAATGGATACGAAAGATGCTTTTGCTGAAGAAGATTTGGAAATGGAAAGGAGACTTGCTAAGAAACTCAAATTAAAGGATGGAAAATTGAAGGGGATGGATGATGAAATGGACATGTTACTCGAGGGAATACCATCTGTGCTTGATTCTTTTGATAAAGGGGAAGTCCCAGATGCTAACCAGTTTCGCATTGAGGGAGTTGAGGATACAACTTCTGATAAGAAACATAAGAAGAAAAAGTCTTCGAAGGAATCTTCAAAAGATCGGAGCGAGGATGTGATGGGAGCAATTTCTGAGCTGCAGGAAAGCTCAGGTGCAGAAGTGGGGCTTGAAGAAGGTGCCAGTGAGACACCTTCACATAATAGAAACAAAAAGAAGTCAAAGCGAAAGCAAGCCATGGCAGGAGACATGACAATTGATGTATCTGACCCAGCAGAGACCCATGATGCAGAGGCTGTGCTGCAGGAAACTTCTAAGAAGGCGCCTGCAGTGGCCAGTAGTATAAAATATGTTGCTCCACACTTGAGATCTCTTGCAGGAAATGAGTCAGAAGAACATATTCAAATCCGTAGACGGGTCCGAGGTACAAAATCAAGCTTTCATGTGAAGTTTTTGCAAAACCTATGAATGCAGCACTTTCTAATTTTAAACCTGTTCCAGGTCTACTGAATAGGCTATCTGAATCCAATGTGGAATCAATTACAGGCGAAATGGCTACCATCTTCCGTGTATGTTATAATTTTCCTTATGATTTATTGCTATTATAAGCAATTTTTTCATGGTATGCTGATCAAAAACGAAAAGAAAAGACCTTGTACATGATATGTTTGAAAGCCTATGAAACGATAATTGCTGCATATTGACCTAACATTATATGGGCCAGGAAACCTGTGCAGACAAAACATTGCTTGCTGGTTAATCTGAATCATTTTTCCTAATTGATTTTATTAGTTTGGCCATTTGGAAACTATTTATCAAATCCGGAATGTTTTAACACCAGTTTCGTGTGTAAGATATTAGTGAGCATGGCTTATGAATAACAACTTGAACACTTTCATTCAATTCGTGTGCAGTCCACTATTCGCGGTGTCAGTACTCAGATTATCATTAATGAGGTGTTGGGAGCATGTTCTGGTGGTCCTCGTGGCAATGAACAGTGAGTGAATTTATTTTTCTTCGCATTTATATCTCCTTGTCTCTTTTTATTGAGCTTATTTTGTAACAGAACTTGTTTCATATAAAGCTTAAATTCCAAACTAGCTGGAGTTGGCTGCCTGGATCTACTTCCTCCTTTCTACTTTTTTCTTTTTTTCATTTTTTTGGGTGAACTTTCTGTAAGCAGTTGTGACTACAGATTGTAGAAGCTATTAAACTTTACTATAGCAAGGTCAAGTAAATTGTTGACTAATGATTTCTTATTTGCTCTGTTTTTCCTTCTTTTTTTTTTTGCTTGCTTGTGCTGTATAATTCATATGCTCATCTGTGTATCAATGCTGATAAGCTTCTTTTTTTGTGTTTGCTTGGGTTAAATGTGTTTTCTTAAGCTATTTTTGGCTCATACATGCCATATTGATTGGAAAAAAAAAAGGATAAAGAAAGAAATACACGAAAGTTTTGCTCTATGGGAAAACAATTCTTTTCTTTGAAATGAATTTGGAACTATACTTTCTTGTATATAGAACTACGTATGGTTCAGAATAGGTGTTTGTGTACCTGCATAAAGCTTGCAAGTTCTTTAGGTCAAAAGATGATTGAAATTTCTGCAGGAAATGTATTTTCTGAATCAACTATATTGTGGATTATTTTAAAGTATCTCAAGAACTGCATTTGGAAATAATAGGATACATGCAAGTGCATCAGTTTTATGCACTGGCATGCTGTCAGTGATGAGATTCTTTCCTTTGTTTTCCTTGTTTTGGTCTGGACTAATTTATGAATGACATCCAGATGACAAAATTGTTTTGATAGCTATGCTTAAATTCTATACCTTTCTGGGATGACTTTTTTCTTCTTCTGGTAGTTAGATTTTATATGTACATTTGATCAATATGGTGCATGTTTGTATATATATATGTCTCTGACAATTTCTCCTTCTCTATTTTTCCCGGAATCTTTCTCACTGTTGAACTGAGGATTGATATTGATGCCTGCGCTTTTGTGAAGGTATGCTGCTGTTTTTGCATCTTTTGTTGCTGGCTTGGCTTGCTCTGTTGGGATGGACTTCAGTGCAAAGTTCATGGCGTCGCTAGCTAAAGCTTTTGAGGTGCATACAAAGTACATCATTAACGTTGAATTGTTGTATTGATTTTTAACTGCTTGAAGATTAATAATAAATCATTCAAAGTTTGGGGGGTGCCATGGGCTCCCCACAATTCAAAGTTGATTCTGGGTTTTATATATATAACATTTAGGTTTAGCAAACATATATTTATAGGTCCATATCTGTCTTTTCCCCAGTAAATTTCATTTTTCATCACTTTTATTTCAGAAATTAAATCTTTCTTTGAGCGATGACCCTTCCTATTTGGTATGCAGGATGAGTGCCTCAAAGAAGACAATATTTCCTTGCGTAATCTCACTCTTCTACTCTCCTATTTATGCATATTTGGAGTTTGCTCAAGGCAAGTTAACTAACTTTATTTATTTATATGCATATAATTTGCTTATAAATATAAATCTAAAGTCTATTTTTAACTCGCTTCATCTTAGGACTCAATGCAGTAAATTAAAAAAAAGGTTAAAAAATGAAAAATTGTAGTAAAAGCTAACATGGGTGAGGTTTCTATGCATTATTATAAAGACATGTCACATGGCTCCAGTTGCTGAATCTATTGATGAGAACCTCTTTTTGGAATATACACATAAGCATATATGAATTAGTTTGAAGGGGATGATATGCCTATTGTAACAAGTTAGGTCTCTGTTCATTGGAATAACAAGTTAGTTTCTCTCAACAGAGAGACATTTTAATTGGCAATTCATTCTCTTTTGCTGTAATGGCAGTATTCTTTGTAGGAAAATATGTTAAATGTAATAATGAGGTTATCAACTTGATGGTATAGGAGATTTGGTTGTTGCTGTTTCCAATAATGATCTTTGTGTATTTGGCAACTGCGACATTATCTGCATTTTGAATAAATGGTGAGAACCATCCTTGCGTACAAAATAGTTGCATAATGCTTGTCTTACTCCTTCTGTCCTCATATGTTGTTGTCTGTTTCATCAGTTTTTAATTTATTTGATGAAAATAATATATAAGCTAATAGCATTAATTCTGTTGATGTTTTGCAGTGATCTGATATATGACCTCCTAATCACTCTGAGCAAGCGTTTGAGAGAGATCGATGTCTCCACTATCTTGACAGTTTTAAATTGTACAGTCTTTCAACCCTTGATGTTTACAATGTGATTTTCACATTTGTCAACTATTTATAATTCAGTTTTGATTATGATTTAAGTTCTCTCTCCATGAAGCTTCCACTTCTTGATAAGGAACTGCATGTCAATCACTTTAATATTCCAGTATCATATTCTTTTCCTTGTTTACATCAGTTATCATTTTCCCTATGCAATCTGGCTGCAGTTTTTGCACTGCACTGATTGATTCTCCGTGGTGCTAAAAATAGTATGATGTGACCACTTCTGTGTACTAATTTAGTAGGATCTGTTGCCCAATTAATCATGTTTAACATGCCATTACTGGCCGTGTAGGCTGTGGGATGAAAATAAGGAGTGATGATCCCACTGCAATGAAGAACTTCATCCAGAGTGTACAGAACAGAGTAAATGAGCTGAAGGCCTCCTCTGTTGAAGGCCAGGCAAATATAAATGGAAAAAGAGTAAGCTTTTCATGAAGATCTCTTTTGATTCTGCAATTTTTGAGGTCAGTTCAGAAATATCATGCATGGTAACTTTTGCAGATGGAGTTTATGCTCGAAACCATATTTGATATCAAAAACAACAAGAAAAGGCCCAAGGAGGAAACTGCACCTCATGCACGGATAAAAAAGTGGCTACAGAAGGTCTTACTAGTTGGATGTTATTTTTCTCATTTCAAGTTCTTCATTCATATCTCTGATTTCAAATTTATATTTCTTAACAAGACAACCAGTTAAGTCAATCAGGAGGTTATTTTATAATTTCATATTAACAGTGAGAGGAAAGAAGCAAAAGGAAAACAAAGAAAAGCATTAATTTTCATATCAAAGTTCTGTTAAACATTAAGATATCCTTTTTCTTGGTTACAATTACAGCAATTTTTAGAGCAGTCTTGTTAGTTGTGATATTGAACTGCACATGTAAATTAAGATTGAGATTCTTTGTTCTTATTCACATGGCGTATTCCTTCTTTCCCCCCTTTTTAATGGTTTTCTTGATGTCTCAGTTAAGAGTTGAAGAAATTCTTATTAGAGGGCTAAAGTGGAGCAAGTTGCTTGATCCTGACAACAAGGGCCAGTGGTGGCTATCAGGGGGTATGGCTGCCAAAACAGATAATGTTCAAGAGGTTGCCAATACGATTGACAAAGATGTTCTGGAAGCCCAAAAGATGCTACAGCTAGCTTCTTCACAGAGGATGAACACAGATGCCAGAAAAGCAATCTTTTGTATAATAATGAGTGGTGAGGACTACATCGATGCTTTTGAAAAGCTTCTGAGGTTGGACTTGGTTGGAAAGCAGGTTGTTATCTCTTGGCTCCCCCACCAAAATGCCCTTCATTTCCTTTCCTCCCTCGTTTCATTTGTATGATGTATTTTGTTTTCATGTACAGGATAGAGAGATTATGCGAGTTATTGTTGAATGCTGTTTACAAGAAAAGATATTTAACAAATATTACACTACCCTGGCTTCCAAGTTGTGTGAGCATGACAAAAACCACAAATTTACTTTACAGGTAACCCTTGTCCTTTTCATGATGAAGTAACAAGGAACCTATTCTACTCCCCCCCCCCCCCCCCCCCCCCCCCCCCCCCCCCCCCCCCCCCCCCCCCCCCCCCCCCCCCCCCCCCCCCCCCCCCCCCCCCCCCCCCCTGTATAAGCTTTTCCAGCTTTGATTATGTAAAAGGTAATCTCTTTTTACCTGATATAATTTCACAGTTTTGCATTTGGGACCACTTCAAAGAGCTGGAGTCAATGCAGCTATTAAGATCAATGCACCTAGCAAAATTCATAGCAGAGATGGTCAGCTCTTTCACCCTCTCTCTTGCAGTTCTGAAGAGTGTAGAATTAAGTGATGTCACACAGCTAACCCCAAAAAGGATCATGCATTTTCGTATGCTGTTTGAGGCCTTGTTTGAGTATCCTGATGAGGTTATATGGAACTCATTTACACGTGTTGCTGTCTCCCCAGAGCTAGAAACTCTCCGTCATGGCATTGAGTTCTTCATCAGGGAGTACGTTGTCAAAACTAACAAGGCCTTTGCAAACAAATTCAAGATTTCAAAGAAAGCCCTTAATAATACTGAAGGAGTCCTCATGTGAGTTGGAGAAAATGGTTGCTCTTCTTGGTAAAGGCCAAATTTTGTAGTTTATTATTATTATTTTTTTCCCTGTGGCTTGGTTGCCAGATTTTATTCTGCCAAGTACTAAATTACCATGGGTGAAATGATGTAAAACGCTAGCAATTTTATTATTAGATGACAGACATCTTTTCCCTTATATTATTTTTAAAGAGGGTTCAATTTGACCATTTCCTAATCTTGTCAACTAACAAGCTGGTACTGGTATAGTATTTCCATATCTGTCTATTAATTTCTAAGCATTTGGTGAAACCAGTGTTTTGGGATGATGCAGCAGGGGAAATACAACCACAGAAAATAGGGTCCGTGCAGTACATAACATGCCCATGAGAACGGCAGTTATAACCTTGAGCTTTGAATACCAAAAGAGGAAGCTGAAATTCGTTTTGACTTGTTAACTTAATCCTAATTTGAACCTTTTCAAATGCTCAATTAGGGCTTCGCTAGCTTCAAGAGTCTAAATAATCTTCATTTTATTAAATAAATCAGGCAAGACATCTATGACCATATAAAATGGTAGCTGCATGGTTCAAAAATTCCACAAAAGGACTCCATTTTACTCCAAATAGAACATATCCCACAAACGGCAACACTGCACCTTGTAAATCCTAATTGCCTTATTTTTTAGTACTTGTAAACTCCTAATGATTCAACATCTGACATATGGTAAAGATTTTCAAAATAAGCAATGTAAATCTTACCATCACATTTAACGTTTTAGGATTATAATGATGGATGGAATGACAAATAAAACACCAATCGTAAGCTGAGAAGTCATTAAGTATTAAGTTACTGAGTTAAGTCTGTCTACCATTATCCTGATTACTGGGGGTGTTATGCCACGATTCAAAATAAAAGGTATCCACCATTCACATTTAGAGACCTGCAGAATCTGTGCAAATAAACCATAGGCACCACTCCTTGAATAGTCAAACATTTACTGACTCGGTTGGGTTGGTATCTTCACTGCAACCCAATTGCCATCGCTGATGGGCAATACAGTGGTGCCTGAAGGATATGTCACTGTGGCCCCACGTGGATGAACAATAATCCTACTTTGACATGTCGTACTCCTTCCAACAATATGCTCGATGCTTGAGTTTGCAGCTGAACTAGTGGAGGAATCAGATGGCAAAGAAGATGGAGACAGGTCATGCTCAGGCAAAGAAGAGATGGCAACGTCAGATGAAGATGTAATGCTTGTCACGGCTGAAACACTATCCTGCCCTGAAGATGCAATGAAGGGATGACGACTTCTAATTTCAGAACATACTGCCAACAATTCAAAAGGTACATGCTGAGACATGGATGCCATTAAGATATCATGAGAGCATGTGTAATCTGCCTACGAAAGAAGCAAAAAATACAAAAAATACTTCATGTCGAAGGAACTAGAATGGCAAGCGCATGCAAATTTGTGTTCAGTGTCTACACATATAAATGGGAATCCTAATATCACAAGCCTTAAGGTGCCTTCATGTAGAGATATGGGTTCTGTTTCTTTACATCTTCATTTTTAAAATATTTTTTCCCTTTTACTTTTCATATAATATTTTTATTCACCTTGAAAGGAAATGCAAAATAGTGTTCATCTATTGAAACCACTAAACGATCTCTCTGGAACCAAAAATCAGACAAAAAGCATGAAAATAATAACCCGCTAGACCATAGGAACCAGTGTGAAAATGAAAACCCTGCATAAAAATGTTAGAAAGTTCTGGAACTAAAAGTAGTTTTCTATTTTTGAAAAGTTGTCCATCGAGTTATCCGAGTGACCATGGCCACCCACGGGACATTAGTTATAAAACACTATTAGTTTATAATTTTTTGTTTGTTAATCTAGTTTCACATTTAATGCTCCATTTGGAGGTATATTTTATTCATGTCAAATAATCTGAAGTACCATGAAGAGGTAGCATGAAGAGGGAAGCTTGAGTTATTCTCTACCGAATTTGTGACTTGTACTCCAAAATAGTGAAAGCACTTGAATATCTGTGCACTGTGTCATATATCGTTATATGCATGCACACATCCACAACAAATATATATAAACATATAACACACAACCCACCCCAACTCATACCATACCCCATAACCTCCTTTAAGCACCATTCAATCTTTAGAAATCTAAAGGTCATAGGTAAAGCAGGTTCTTATATTGAATAAGTTCTCTGATTAGCATCAGCGTGGATGGTGCAAATGAAAAATGCTCAACTTTTACAAACACATCTTTCAATGGTGTCCCTCCATATGAAATATCTGAAAAATCTAGTTTCAAATCTAGATGCTTTCAGATTTGGTTTTCCACAATATGTTGGCAGAAAGCATTAGTTCATGGTTTTGGAGGTAATAATGAACATGCAGAGAGGAATTATTTAGTATAATATGAAAACATCTTCTAATAACTACTAATAGAAGAGCAAAATGCTGGGAATTTTAGAAAAATTCACCTCTACCCTCCTCATCTTGTTCAATGGGCACAGGCAATTTAGGTTGGATGTTTTGTTGTAGATATGCAGTGAGATCTGCAAGAAGGCTAGGAGTTGATAACTGCAGAGCTTCATGTCCTTGGTGAGCTGGAGAGTGACACGTAGTGCTTTGAACAGCTTCCTGGACTTGGCAAGCAGGAGTGAGAAGTTTAGAGCTCTGAGGAGCTTCTTGAAATTGGCAAGCAGGGGAGAGAAATGCAGGGCTCGGACTTGAGTTGCCTGACCAAAAACCAAGCATTCTGATCAAGCACTACAATAGTATATTCTTTACTTTGTAGATTAAATTTAATATTTTTTTATGCAGCATCTCTATTTTCTCTGCTTTGTAAAAAGCTTATAAGAACTATGAAGCACGGCAATTTAGAAGGTATCATTAGAATGACTTCATGCAGCTAAGTTACTCAAGGATGTTTGCTGAGAAGACCAAAAGCTCGTTAGACTGTCTCTCACTGAATCTTTGACTTCAACTTTTCTTATGTCCCTGTGGTTAATAAATATTCATGTCCCTGGCCCAAACCATACTGTAGTTTTATGAGAAAGTCCATCACAAAAGAAAATATCATATTGAAGCATAAATTGCACCATTTATGGTTTCCTGTAGGAAAGAATGCCATTTGTCATGGTTGGTTGAGGTTAACAAAATCAAGAGGAAGGAGAGGCTGGATAGAACCTTCCCACCCTCTAAGTTCTTTGGATGATGAAAAGAGGAAGAGAAGATGTAAGAGGTATTAAACTAGATGTTATGGACAAAATAACCACCTGTTACATGAATTCGTGTTCTGGTCAAAGCTGGATAATAAAAAATTTCCTCTTCCTTCTTCTTGGGCCCTCAAAATCCATTTTGAGGGATTGAAATTGTTGGGTCCAATAGAAGCCTCTTGGATTTCAAGGGATTGAAATTGTTGGGTCCAATAGAAGCCTCTTGGATTTCAAGGGATTGAAATTGTTGGGTCCAATAGAAGCCTCTTGGATTTCAAGGGATTGAAATTGTTGGGTCCAATAGAAGCCTCTTTTATCTCCTGCCATACCTTTCCTTCCAAGATCCAACCAAATGGGAGAGGGGGGCTTTTGTTTTCCTTTCTTCTACTCCCCAACCATAACTTCTGTTTTCCTTTCTTCTACTCCCCCAACCATATTGTTATTATGATATCAAAGTGGAATTCTCTCATCAAGGACTGGTTTGCAATCTCAATTCTAAGTCCTAAGAGAGGAATCACAAAAGGTTTCACAGAGAAGTAATCCTCTACTCAAGTACTAGGCTGAGAGTTTGAGTACAATATATGAATCTTGCCACTTAATTTATCATGAAAATCAAATGATTGTTACCATAAAGTTATAAACCTCATAGAATTGAAATAATTGTTGACAAAAAAAAAATCCAGGTTATAGAGAGTGAATTCCTGTACTAATTAATTGGATGCCTAAAGCATGCAAGACTAAATAATACATAAATTAAAACATATAATAAACAAGTATGCATGTACATACGCTGTTTTAGAGCTGTGTAAGCAGTCTTTGCTGCACTCATCTCTGCTTGCTTCTTAGTTTTTGCTCCTTGTCCTGTAAAAATCTCTCCTTCGATCTCGACTGTTGAAATGAAAGTGGGTACATGAGCTTCACCAGATTTGTTTGTACTATAAGTTGGCAAACCACAACCTTCTCTCTGAGCCAGTTCTTGTAAAAGATTTTTATAACCAGACTCATCCTAAAAAGAAAATAATAAATTACATTAAAAAGAGTAATCACATCTCTAAAAGATACAAACACAAAAACTGCATGCACAACCAGCAAATTTCTGCATCTCACAATGAATTGATAACAATGACCATAAATAGGAAACTAACCTCTTCAACTCCATTTGGCAACAATGACATCAATGCCGCTTTTGCAGCTGCATGTTCAGCTTTGCTCAATGTGGGAAAATATTCTAGACTCTCAAAGGTTTGTCCATTTACTGTGACCTTGCACTTAAAGCGACAAGAATGAGGAGGACCCACCCGCTCACAAGAATACACAGGTAGAGCAAAATTTCTCTTTTGTGCATAGGTTTGCAGCTGGCTCTTAAACAAACGTTGCATGTCTATAAGCCAGGAGAAAATTCAGATTAATATGTCCCACAATGACATGTCATGAAAACCCAAGATAAACAGGTGCATTATTTAAGACACAAAATAAGATGATTCAACACTCAGTTTCCATGGTCAGGTGATGCTACTGCCTTCTTCAATCAGAATTCAGCTACTCTTTTCCTGTAATAACTTGGCAACCAACAGGGCATCAAATACAAAATCCCCTCCTTTCCCCTTTTTACTAAACCATAAAAACCTATAAGCTACTGTACGAATTACATTATCCCTTGCCAGGCCAAACAACAATTTAATTACATCAGCAAATCTTCAATGGCCAAGTGAGGCACCATTGGGAGCAGAGTATTCAATAACAATAATAAAAAGAAAAAAGAAAGGACTGATAAAACAATTAGACCAGAATTTTTTATGTTTTCCTCCATTTTAATCCTTTTGAGATTTGGAGCAAGAGGGAGAGTCCATTCCCCACAAGTGTTGCTGGAAAGCAAGGGTTGTGATCTAAAGTATCTTCATCAATCAACAATTTTGTAAACTCTGTGATACATGGCAGCTAAGCCATGCGGGCATGGTTTGTGTATAGTTTCTT